AAAACTGAAGGGTTCGAGGGGAACCATGGCACACCCTGTTTATCGCTATACTGGAGTGTACGGAACTGCCTGTAGCGCCTTGTTTCATTGGAATTGGCTAATTGAACGACCGGAACATAATCGAACCACCTTTCAATGTGCTTTTCCACTGCTCCACTATACTGGAATCCACTATGGTGAGAAAGAGGGTGTGGAGAGAGTGTAGTAGATGCAGAAAATTAGGGGCAACAAATTTTCGACTCATGTGATGATTAGTAATCAATCTCAGAACCACTACAACAACTCACTGAGCTTGTCGCCGGCGTAGACTTTGGGCGCCCTCCATTTGCTCACGCCAAACGTCCACGGGGTGAAAATCTGCCCGACCAGTGATCCGCTGCCCTTCCCCACCACGACGTACTTCGCATACGCCTGCATGGCAGCGCCTGGAGAAAGCCCAGCACAGAGAAACAAGAAACATGGATATGAAAAGAAGCACAAGAAAATGATATATGTATACATATATTATCTTAGCATCGGCCTCGCATCAATGGAACAAAAAATCTGAGCGTGCGTTAGGTAAGAACAGCTCGAAGATGGAGGGACATGTGTGCAAAACTTCCGCAAACCGAACAAATGTTTAGTTGAAGCGTTGCGTGCGGGATCATAAACGAGACTCAATTTACCGATAAGCATCAGGCACACGAGAAGGATCACGTATCGCCTTGATTGCCCCATTTCGTTTCGCGTCGCGACACGGAATATGAGTCAAACTTGGTAGTAGTAGAAGGTTGCTTGACAAATGCAAGAAGCACGCCAATGCTGCACGACAAGCCCATCTTATATTGGGACGATCCGTCCGACTGCCTTGATGCTTCCACACCCAGGCGTCAAACATGCGGGTGCCTGCCGAGAGATACCCTTTAGGAACGGAATGGGATATTCTTTCACTGCACCGCGTCGGCCATTTCTTGGACGGCTTTCGCCATCCATCAGGACGTCGCCCCAGTGTGCCCCACCGATGCGCGACGCGCGCAACGGAGATGCGAAGCGGGTTATTTGCGCTCGTTGCACTTGCAAGAATGCATGGGTAGCAACGCCGTGAGTGGAATCCTTCAAACGTGGAGTGTTTTTGCAACGCTGGCTATTATGGCTCCAGATGTTTCTTGCAAAACAATGGCCTTGATCGGTTGCCCTAACTCCGAGTAAAGAGGGTCCACCGATCAGAGCCAGTGTTGCTCATGTACATCTGTAGCGCTCGGTGACAGCCGAGTCGCCAGGACAAAGGCCTGGGCATTGTACAGGCGTATATTAAATTCCCGTGATAAGACGTCCCCACACCCTAAAACAGCCATTTCATTCTGTCCTCCGCTTTGATTGCTACTGTACACCGAAGTTGCTCTTCGCTCCTCAGCTTTCCTCGCCAAAGAAACGAAATTGCCCGCACGTCTAGCGTGCCCCCACAGCTCAGCACTCGTTCAACCCCCTTGACTTTTGAACCGACCAATCCCCTTTCAACTTTCTGGCCTTGAGCTGCGTCGACTTGTCAGCCAGCCATTCAGGGCTTCGTTTAGGGGACTCGTGCCTCAGCATAGTATAGCTCAGCCGACGAAAATTGCCGCCCAGTTTCGCAGTTCAGAACGGACAACCCCCCTCCTCAGGGTCGACGACCTCCGCGTGGAAAGCCCAGGCTATCTGGCTGGGCCAGGTGCTGGTGAGCCCTCGGGATGGTCGACCACCTGTCGACCTAGGGTTCCGCTGAGACAATCCCGAGAAGGACGTCTCAGCCGCGTGTCAGAATCCCAGATGGGCAAGTCGGGCCGCGATGATCGCCACGCGGTCACAAAGGGACGCCCGAGATAGTCCCCTGGATGGCGGGGCCACCGAGGTCTGCCAGGTTGGACACGACGGGCCAACGGAAGGTCGGGGTGCTTCGCGTAGGAGATTTTCGTGCGGGAACGTGGCAAGGTCGGTGCATACCACACGGCATTCATCCAACGGTTGCCCATATGCGCAAGGCAAAATCCGGCCGTCCACTATCTATGGCTAAGTGCAGTGGACACTAAGGCTGCGGGAATGTCGGCGTTGACCAGAAGAGCATCAGCGTGGTGCCACTCGGCAGTGTCTCCCGCCCTCGAGCTACCGCGCTGCACCTAATTCGGGACCACGCCACGTGCCGCACGAAAGAGCCACCGTGTAGCAGCCACGAAAAAAGCACGATGAGCGAAGAGCGTCAAGCAAGCAGCCATGCACGCCTAGTCGCACGTCGGACACGGCGCCGCAGCACGAGCGTACATGCATGGCGGCGTCCTGCACTGGGGTTTGCGTGGAGCGCCAAGTGGTGCGGAGTCGCTCACGACCATACCCATCCGTGGTCCCCGTAATGGTCGCTCATTCTGCATGCCATTCTGTGTGCGTTCCATCCGTAAGCTGGCACTTAGCTTTTTTTTTACCATTGACTTGACGGCTGGCACTTAGATTTTTCCTGGACGCGTAACGTCGGCGTCGTCAGAGTAGCCAGACGTGGTCGCCGACGTCTCGTAGGATTGTCTGCTGTGCCGACTTGCCCGATACCGCCGACGTAGATTACGCAAGTAGTAGTTTATCGACCTCACCACGCCGACTTCCCATCACCAGACCCTAGGTCGTAGTATCATGGCCATAGGACAGCCTCGATCGACACCGCCGCAAACCAACCCACCGCCCGCCGATGTCGACATGACGGACGTTCCGAACCCCGCTAGCCAGGGTGAGGATGTCCGCCCGGTAGACCGTACACCGACCAGTAACCCCTCGTCGAATTTGCCGCTGCTTTACGATCTCGACGCCCTGGCCCAAATCCCGCAGGGAGAGTTCACCAAGGACGTTCCGCCCGCGCCCATAGGGGAGTTCACGAAACCACGCAAAACGTCGACGCCGACGGATGCAGGGGAGGCCGGGCCGTCGCATGTGCCGGACGGATCGGGCGACCAGGATGAGGAAGATTATTCATCGGCGAGCGACGAGGACGACGAAGACGACCCGCGGCCCCGACGAGGCACTGGTCCGCGCACGTTGGAAGAAAAACTCAGGGGGGAACGTGCGTTCATAGAGGAACTTCTGGACGAGGACGATCTCAGAATGTTATGCTCTAGCCGTTAGTGGGGTGCTCTATAGCGAGTACAACCCTTCTAGGGTTTGCTATTTGTATCCCCATTCTTGCTAGTTCAAGCTCCCTTCTCTCTTCTTCTTTCTAAATTTTCACATGGTATTAGAGCAGGTCGATCCTCTTGGATCGATCCTGTGGGTGGGCTCACCACCTCGTTGCTTCCGCTGCAACTGCTACTGCTACTCTCAGTGCCGCACGCCCCGTGGCGTGCGGCAGTCGCGCGGCGGGCTTCTGCCCCATCGTTCGCCGCGTCGCCCTCTGGAGGCGCCACGACGGGCGATGGGGGGGCCCGTCGCGGCGCACCGAGGGCACGTACACGCCGCCCGTGCGCCGCCCGTCCCGGCCCCGCGCCGCTGCCCTGGCCCGGCGACGCCCGTGCGCCGCCCGTCCTGGCCCCACGCCGCCCGTGCGCCGCCCGTCCCAGCCCCACGCCGCTGTCCCGGCCCGTCGCCGCCCGTGCGCCGCTCGTCCCAGCCCCGCGCAGCTGCCCCGACCCGTCGCCGGCACGTGCACCGCCCCCTCTCCCCCCCTCCCTCCCCCCCCTCTTTTCCCGTCGCCCGTCGTGGCTCCTTCGGGGGCCGCGGTGACGGGAGGGGCGACGTGGGGGTGGGGGCGAGCGTCGCCCCTTCTGCCGCCTCCTTTGGCGCCCAGGGTGGCCGCGCGTCGCCCCCCCCCCCCCCCCCCGTAACCTCCCTACCCGCCATCCCGCCCTACCCTGTGTTCGGGTTTGGGGGTGGCGAGTGGGGGGTGGCGGGTGTGTGGTCTCCCCTGCTCCTCCTCCTCCTCTGTCTCCCACTACTGCAGCTGCCGCTGAGGGGGGTGGGTGTGTGGGAGTCGACGGAGTCGTGCTAGGGGGTGGGGTGTGAGTGACCCTAGGGGTGCAGTAGGGGGTGTGTGTCAGGGGAGGGTGGGATAGTTTTGGGAAGCTGAATGGAGGTTGCCGTCGTGTCGCCAGCAGCACCTGTATTCCGGGGACTTCGTCCGGTAGCCCAGTCGTAGCCACCTGTGCCAGCCGCCCGTGGGTCCGTTGCTCGTCTGTCGCTACTTTTAGCCGCGGGGCCAGTTACTCCAGTAGTCCGGAGCGCTGTTCCAGTAGCCGCTGTGCCAGTGTGCCTCCTGTTGCCCGTGTGTCTGCAGCTTTAGTCGTCGCCTCCTATCTCCTCTCCTCTTACAGTCTCGCCTCCTCCACCTCACTTGCCCTCTGCTATAGCCTCTAGCTTTGCTTACACTTGTGAACTTTAAACTGTTGTTTCTTGAACTTGTGCTCACAATGTGTGGTGACATTGTGATCCACCCTGAGCTTGTTCTGCTTTGCTTGCTCTGCTGATTACACCCCACTTTGGCTATGGGGGTGTGTCAGAATGTTATGCTCTAGCCTGTAGTGGGGTGCTTTATAGCGAGTACAACCCTTCTAGGGTTTGCTATTTGTATCCCCATTCTTGCTAGTTCAAGCTCCCTTCTCTCTTCTTCTTTCTAAATTTTCACAGACAAGCTTGAGGATCTGCTGCACACGTCGGTCCCTCGAGAAATGTGGAAGGCGGCCGACTTCGTAGAGGAAGATATGGTGTACGCGTGCGTCGACGTGCTAGTGATGGAGGCAATGCGCCACCTGAAAACCATAGAGGCCAAGAGCACGCTCAAGTCCTACACCTCATGGATATACGACTACAAAAGGTGGGAGGCGAAGATGCTTAAAAAAATAGGCGACAAACTGCCGACAGCAGAACAAACGAGGCACGTCGACGAGATAGGGCACTAGACACACAACAACAAGAGCAAGGATTGGGACAACGAGAAGGTGGTCAAGCGGAAGCACATATGGCTGCACGGCCCTCGGGTCACTAGTACGCGGCTGCGCGCCTACATCAAGTTCATGAGGCGGGAGTACAAGATCGACGCTGAAACGAACGCGCCAGTGCAAGCCTACACGGTGCACATGATCCTCGGCCGCATCAAGGCCTGCCAGATGGTGGCGAGGGTGGAGGCGACGCTCTATAAGGAGAGGGAGTTGGGCATCATGCGGGAAATCTCGGTGGTCCGGTCGGAGGTGCGGGTCATGGTCCGCACCAAAAATCAGAGGGACATCAAGTAAGTTGGCATGCATCGCCGTGTTATGTCGCCATTGTGTTCCTCGCCCTAATATTCAGGTCCCTATATTGTTATGACGACAGTAATTGCGCCGACCGTCGACGCGGCACCATCGGCGACACATACACCGCCGAACAGTTCCGCCAAATCATGACGAGGGTGCTGCCGGCTTGGGCGGCGTCGGCATGGAGCCCGCATTTCACCACACCTTCGCAGACGCTGTGGAGGTTTCTTCTCGTCAAGGTGCTCACGCTGCTCTCCCACCACAGCCTCATGCGCGGTGCAAGCATCCGCGAGATAACGCTCCCCGACATCTTCCTGTACCGACTGGAGAGCACCTCGTCGGTGAACCCGGATAACCAGCCGGTCGTCATGGTGGTCGCCGCGCGTAACTCGAATACGTCGAAGGATGCGCGTCTTCAACAGAGCTACGCGGGGAGGCACCCCGAAGCGGAGTTGTGCGCCGTCGGCGAGACCGGGCTGTGGTTACACTTCGTCCTCGACCAGATCGGCCAGTTTCACGGCGTCGACCTCATTCCGCCGGTCGACACTAGCACACGCGAGCTCTGGTACAAGAAGCACCTGTTCTTCGCCCGCAACGACCCCGAGCAGGGCGAGCTCTCAGCTCCCAGCCACCAGCGATGGACGAGGCAGATGTGGAAGACGAACGGGGTGTTCTGCAAGCGGAACGTCCATGCCGCTCGGGCAGGCGGGGCGCAGGAGCTGGCCATCCACGGTACGCCTCGCGCCGAGATAGCCGAGCTGGGTCACTGGGCTCTCGACAAGATGACTCGAGCCTACATCACATCCATTCCCGTCGGCGTGGTGATGAAGAAGGCTGGCTATTCGGGATTCACGCAGAACTACTTCTTGGGTCGCAACAGGGTGGAACCGGGAGACGAACTCCTCGCTCTCATCGCCGAGCACATCTTCCCCGGCGTCGACGACCTCCTCAAGAAGGTATGTTTATCGGTGCCGACCAGCCTTGCATGGTACTGTCCTATCCACCACGGCAATAACCCACGTCTGATGTCTAACTGCAGGCAAAAGAACTCGCGAAGAAGGGGTCCAACGCCGACATTGCGGCCGTGCATTTCTGGCGCACCCTTGTGATGTTCCGGCGCATTGTCGCCGAGGACCTCGCGGTGAAACTCGTCCGCACCCCTTGGCACCCGTACGTCCAGTATTCCAGGCTCTGCCGGATTCCCCTCTTCCAGCACGGGGCGAAGAGGGTTGAGAAGACCGACACCGACACCATCAAAAAGCGACAAGATCCAACCCTCATCCAGCCAGAGGTAGGTCATCCTTTATGTTGACGTCGCGATGTGCTCTATGACCGCTACAACCCCTCATCTGCACCGTTATTCGCCTACCATTGCCGGAGATATCGGTCCGCCATGACGCCCAGTACGCGGTCGTCTCCCTCACGGAGACGCTTAAGCTCGAGAGGGAGCGGTCAACGGTCCAGAAGCTCGACCTCGAGGAGAGGATCGAGAATCGCGACGCAACCATCGCGTCGCTCGCGGCCGAGATAACCCGCCTCACCGAGGCTCTCCGCGTTTCAGAAGCTCGAAGGATGACGGAGGCGCTGCCAGCTGCGAACGACCAGTTGCTGAGCGACGGTGGCTCCGCGGAGTCGGCAAGCAGGGGTGAAGGAGCCAACAAACCCAATAAACCCCCACAGACGGTCGAGGAGGCTAGCTACGAGCTGAACGTAGTGCAACCTTGGCGGACTGCAACGACCATCAAGGACGCGTGGCGCCTCTGGACCTCGTGCACCAGCGCCGACACCCGTCGTCTGTGCGACAGGTTTAGGGAGCCGGGATTCGTCGACTGCCACACCCTCCTCGACGGAGCCTCGCAGGGAGCACACGGGAAGAGGGTGCGCCGCATGATGAAGGTCATCAATGCGGTGCGCCAGCTTCGCAGGAGCGACGGCGAAGCCGACACGGAAGCCACCGTCGACGCGCTTAACAAGATAGCGGCGCCTGGCATTGGGACCTTTGCGGATGCCCTCACGGTGCTCAACGCGGACGCCGTAGCGACCTATGCCGGGCAGGGTAAGGGCGTCAAAGGGCTCGGCAAAACGGAAGTCTCCAAGCTTCGTGTCGCCTGTGCGTTCGTGGCGCGCGGGTTCAAGCCCGAAACGTGGGTCGCCGACCTGTTCCCGGACACCTGGGTTTAGCAGATGAAGAAGACGTTGGCCGACCTGGCCCGCGAAAACGACGCTGGGCAGCTGCCTCCGACCAATAAGTCGACCAAGCGCAAGAAGACCGCGTGAATGTTCCTACGCCTCCTGCTACTGTGGGCTGTTGCATGTTGTAGATGTTGATGCAGCATGCCTATGTTTCATACTGATACTGATGTCGACTTTTTGTTTTTCGCAATGATCCTGTTGTTCTTGGCCTAGCGGCGCATTCACGTGTTGTTCTAACTGAAGTAGACAATCATTACCAGCTAATGTGTTCATTACTCATCCTACGTAAAGTAGACAGGCACGCACACAAAGAAACACAAACAACGAGCATCAAATGGATCCAACACCCGAAACAAACAAAACGATATCGACCATAGCAGCACCGAGTCCACGCAGCACTTAATCTTAGCAAGCCATCGACTAGGCCGTCGTGCTGTCCTTCTTCGCCTTCTTGCCCTTCTTCCCCGTGCCGCCCTTGGCCTTCGTCCCCTTCTTGCCCCTCAGACCCTTCCTCCCCCTGTTGTCACGATCGGCCTTCATCTGCGCGTCAATCGGCACCGCGATGTCCCTCGCTCTTAGTTTCGGCCCGGCGACGGGGCACATTCCCCAAAACGCCATCGTCTCAACCGTCCCTCTAGCGATAACGTCGGCATCTACTCCAGCATTCCCCCCCGGATAGACCCTATCAAGGGCGGTCCTCTGGAGTGCTGGCGAGACGTTGTAAGCAACCTCTCCCAGGGGGCGGTCCCTGTTCATCTCGGCGTTCAGCACCGCCTCCATGACTTATCCGAATACATCGGCGGTCGCCCGGCGACCGTGCGGGTGAGCAGTGTGGGGGTGCGCACCCCACCCAGCGCTGCTTTGGCCGCCTGACGGACGCGTGGCGTCACCATTTCCTAGAGGCCACAGAGATCCCTCGCGGGGGCGAGCTATCTAGGGAGAGTGTTGCCATCTATGATCTTGATTTTGATGCTATTCTCTCTGCCATGTATGCTGTGTCTATTAGTGATGAGGGTGACTGTTACCGGTGTTTCCCGCCCGATCCGGGCATTGAGACTGCTGCTCTAGGTGCTGGTGTGGCTGCTGCCCTAGGTGCTTGCGAGGTTGCTGCTCTAGGTGCTAGTGCGTCTGCGTCCTCAGGTACTGGTGAGTCTGCGCTCTCAGGTACTACGTCTGCTTCGGCCTCCCTCACCTTCACCCTTGACTCTGGGGCTTCCCGCTCCTTCTTTCGTGACCGCACCACCCTCACGCCGCTTACTCGGCCGGTTGCGGTGTCTCTGGCTGACCCCTCTGGGGGTCCTGTCCTGTCTCACTTCTCCACAGTCCTCCCGTGTCCGGCGGCTCCCTCTGGCACCCTGTCTGGTCTCTACCTCCCCTCGTTCTCTACGAACCTGGTTAGTGGTGCTACCCTACAGGATGGGGGAGTACACCAATTCACTCCTGCGCGTCAGCGGGTGACGCACTGCACAGAGGCTAGCACAGGCCGACACCTGGCTACGTTTACCCGTCAGCCGGGGTCGAGCCTGTACACACTGACCACTCCGTCTCCTCCCGTTGCTGAGTGTGGTAGGGTAGCTGCGTCGGGTCAGGTGTTTGGTGCAGCGTCCAGGTCTGGTCCTGAGTCTGCCCCCTGTTCGTGTCGTCTCCTGTCTCACGAGACTCTCCTCTAGCACCACCGCCTTGGTCACCCCTCTCTGCTTCGGCTCAGAGGCATGGCCTCCCGTCTTCTTGTTTCTGGTCTTCCCTGGTCCCTCCCTCCCCTTCCTCAGGGCCCTGGCCCTTCCTGTGTCCCCTGTGTCGAGGGGCGCCAGCTGGCTGCCCCTCACTCCTCCCAGTTTCCTCCGACAGAGGCTCCGCTGCAGACGCTTCACATGGACGTGTGGGGCCCGGCCCGCGTCTGGGGACAGGGTCACGAGCGCTACATCCTGCTCATTGTTGACGACTACTCGCGTTACACCGCAGTCTTCCCCTTGCGCACCAAGGGTGATGTCACTGAGGTGCTGATCGACTGGATCCGCGCAGCTCGTCTCCAGCTCAGGCGGAGCTTTGGCTCCGACTTTCGTGTTCTGCGTCTGCACTCGAACAGAGGCGGAGAGTTCTCCTCTGGCCTTCTGAGAGCTAACTGTCGCGCGCGAGGCATTTGTCAGACCTTCACGCTTCCGGACTCCCCGCAGCAAAATGGGATTGCTGAGCGCCGCATTGGCATGGTCATGGACGTCGCTCGTACGTCTATGATGCATACGGCTGCCCCCCATTTTCTGTGGCTGTTTGCGGTGAGGTACACGGCGCATCAGATCAACCTCCACCCCAGGGTCTCCAGGCCGGAGACCTCCCCAGCCTTGCTGTGGACGGGGAAGGTTGGCGATGCGTCGGCGTTCCGGGTCTGGGGATCTCGGGCGTTTGTCCGCGACTTGTCTATGGACAAGCTGTCCCCTCGTGTTGCTCCTTGCGTCTTCCTGGGGTTCCCCCCTGACGCGCCTGGGTGGCAGTTCTACCACCCCAACTCTCGCCGTGTTCTGTCCTCCCAGGACGTCACGTTTGACGAGTCGGTTCCCTACTACCGCGTCTTCCCCTACCGCACTCCGTCCCTCCCCCCCCCCCCCCCCGCTCTTCCTTGTACCAGGTCCCCCCCGGTTGACCCCCTCCCCCCTCAGGGTCCTGCCCCTTCAGGTGTGTCCCAGGTAGACGCAGTCGAGCCTGTCGAGGTTACTGGTGACTCTGGTGCTGCTAAGGGTGCTGAGCCTGGAGGTGCTGAGACTGGGGTTGCTGAGCCTGGGGGTGCTGAGACTGGGGGTGCTGAGCCTTGGGGTGCTGAGCCTAGGGGTGCTGAGACTGGGGGTGCTGAGCCTGGGGGTGCTACGCCTGGGGGTGCTGTGCCTGCGGGTGCTACGCCTAGAGGTTCTCCGGGTGCTTCGTCTCTGCGGGAGCCACTCTCTCCACAGGAGCTGCGTGAGTGGTTTGCCAGGCACTGGAGGCGTGCTGCTCGAGCTGGAGGTTCTTTGACTACTGAGGGTGCTGCTGTCGCGGGTCCCGGAGGTGCTCGTACTGGGTGTACTGGAGCTGCTGGGCCTGCGAGTTCGACTGGAGCTGGTGCTGCTGAGGGTGCTGGCGCTGAGACTACTACTGGCGGTCCCGCCAGGGGTGTTCTTGGTGCTGCTGGAGGTACTGGAGCTGGAGGTGCTGCTGGTGCTGGTGCTGCCGCTGAGGGTACTATTGCTGTCCCTGATGTGTCTGGAGTCGCCGCGCGGCCTCGGCCGTACTTCGTTCCGCTCCTGCAGCAGGTTCTTGGTCTTCCGCCTTCTACTGGTCCTCTTCCTCCCTTAGAGTGTCCACAGCCTCTCCTGTCATAGTTGCAGTTACAGCCTGCCTCCCCTTTGCCTGCTCCTTCTCACTACACTGGTCCTACTGGAGGTCTTGCTGAGCGTCGTGAGCCTGTGTCTCGCCCTACGTCACCCGTCCGTGCTGCTCGCACTAGTGGTCGTGGTTCGCGTCAGCGTCCTCCTCCTGTCCCTGGCACGCACCGGATGTCTCTGCGTCCGTCCACTGCTCCTCTGCGTGCCCCTTTGCCTTCTCCTCCTGAGTCCTCTCTTCCTGCTCTTGCCGACCCAGAGTCGGACTCTCTTCGTACTGCCAGTCCTACTGTCACGCGTCTCCTTGCTACTGTTGTCACTGACCCTTCCTTTGAGTCCACTGCTGCGTCTGCCCTAGTTGCTGAGCTCGTCGACTTTGCTGCTCGCTGTCGTCTAGACTACGCTGCTAGTCTTGTCGCTTAGTCTGAGTCTGTCTGTCCTCCGTCCGTCGAGGGTGAGTGTGCTCTTAGCACGGACGTCCTTGAGGACAGGCAGGAGGAGTTCCAGTGTCTGGCAGCTGCTTCACCTCATCTCGTGTCTGTACTGCTTACCCCTGAGGGAGACCCGGATGCACTTGACATCCCGACTCCGCGCTCTTACGCGGAGGCAATAGAGGGTCCCTACTCTTCTCAGTGGCAGGCAGCTATGGATGCAGAGATGGCTTCCTGGAAGTCCACAGGCACCTACGTTGAAGCTGTCCCCCCTCCTGGGGCGAACATCGTCAGTGGCATGTGGATCTTCAGGGTGAAGCGGCCGCCGGGTTCTCCGCCTGTCTTCAAGGCGCGTTACGTGGCTCGTGGCTTAAGTCAGCGACAGGGAGTTGACTACTTTCAGACCTTCTCCCCCACCTCGAAGATGACCACTCTTCGGGTACTGCTGCACGTTGCTGCTCACCATGACTACGAGCTGCACTCTCTCGACTTCAGCACTGCTTTCTTGAAGGGCAGCCTGCACGAGGAGATCTGGCTGCGCCGCCCACCTGGCTTCACTTGGTCGTTCCCTCTTGGTACCCAGTGGAGTCTCCGGCGTCCAGTCTACGGTCTTCGCCAGGCGCCACGTGAGTGGCACGACACACTCAGAACTACGCTTGCGGCTCTTGGGTTTGCTCCTTCTACTGCCGACCCGTCACTGTTTCTGTGACCGACACCTCTCTGCCGCCGTTCTACATCCTCGTGTACGTCGACGACTTGGTCTTTGCCACTGCTGACACTGCTGGACTCGCCTACGTGAAGTCCGAGCTGCAGAAGAGACACACGTGCACAGACCTGGGTGAACTGCGCAGCTACCTTGGCTTGGAGATCACCCGGGACAGAGCACAGCGCACCATTACCCTGACTCAGTTTCACATGGTGCAGCAGGTCCTTCAGCGCTTCGGCTTCACGTACTCCTCGCCTCAGGCCACTTTTCTGCCTACTCGCCACTCGCTCTCAGCTCTGCCTTCGGATGAGTCCGTAGAGTCGAGTTGCCCGTACCCAGAGCTTGTTGGCTGCCTGATGTACCTGATGACCTGCACTCGACCTGACCTTGCATACCCTCTTAGCATTCTTGCACGCTATGTTGCTCCTGGGAGACACCGACCAGAGCACATGGCTGCAGCGAAGAGGGTGTTGCGCTACTTGTGCAATACGTCGGGCATGGGGCTAGTGCTTGGAGGGCGGAGTCCAGTGGTCCTCACTGGGCACGCGGACGCTTCTTGGGCTGACGACCAGGCTACACAGCGGTCGTCACATGGTTACACCTTCAGCCTTGGTTCCGGCTCTGTTTCGTGGCGGGCTACTCGCTCGTCTTCTGTTCTCGGCTTCAGTTGTGAGGCTGAGATCTACGTAGGGGCCATGGCTGCACAGGAGCTTCGCTGGCTCACCTACCTGCTGACCGACCTTGGAGAGCAGCCTCGTTCTCCTCCAGTCCTGTATTAGACAACAAGGCCATGCTGGCCTTGTGTCGAGAGCAGAGACTGGAGCACAGAACAAAGCACATTGCTCTTTGCTACTTCCTTGCTCATGAGCTACAGCAGCGTGGTCAGTTGCGGCTTGCCTACGTGGCCTCTGAGGCCAACACTGCTGATGTCTTCACCAAGGCACTTGCGCCTTGTGATCATCAGCGCTTCTGTACGCAGCTGGGTCTTGTGCCTGTCTTGCCTCACTTGCTCACCTCTTGATGATGCTTGTACTGTTGCCTATAATACCTGCTCTTGCTTGTCTAGCTTTTATATATCTATACTCATGCATGTGAACTGGCCCTGTGGCCCTAAACTTGTGCTCGGACTGTGTGGTGGCGTTGTGATCCACCCTAAGCTTGCTTTGCTTTGCTTTGCTTGACTGGTCTTGTGACCCCTTGTTCTCCCCCACTTTGCCTATAGGGGTGTGTCAGAATATTGTAGCTTATACATTTTGTGTAGGCTATAGTGGGGCATCCCATAGGGGGTACAACCCAATTAGGGTTAGTACTTGTACTCTCTTCTTTCATACTGCATTCATTCTCGTTCATATCTTCTCAACCGTCACTCTAGCGATAACGTCGGCATCTACTCCAGCATTCCCCCCCAGACAGACCCTATCAAGGGCGGTCCTCTGGAGTGCTGGCGCGACGTTGTAAGCAACCTCTCCCAGGGGGCGGTCCCTGTTCATCTCGGCGTTCAGCACCGCCTCCATGACTTTTCCGAATACATCGGCGGTCGCCTGGCTCGCTCCACCGATGATCACCGCCGACTTCCCTTCTTCCATAGCATCCGCCAGCTGGGCATCGCCGCCCTCGATGAAGCACCACACAGCGCATGCGGATGCTGCTAACGCCCATGCCGCCATATCCGTCCTCTCCTCCTTGTCTCCCTCCTTCGCCGCTGCCGCAGCGGTCTTCCCATACGCAGCGCACATTGACACCCGGCCTATCATCGCCGACAGCATGGACACCGACTTCTCCCAGCCTTCCTTGGTGCTAGCATCGACTGGGTACCATATCGCTGGCATGAGCGCGGCGTGGAGACCATCGCCTGTGGACTTGTAATGGCGATACGCGTCGATGATCTCAGTCAGCCTGTCACGCCACCACAAACAGGGCGAACATTAGTGACAACGACAACGACATCGACTTTGGATCGGAGGATTGCCGACTTACCGTGTCTTTGGAAGGAGCGTACCCCGGGCCCACATCACCGTCCACATCCCTGTCAGCAAGATCTTGACCTCCTCCCACACCTCCTTCCACCTCTCCAATTCGGCGCTGTCCAAGTCGGTGAGCTCGGTCATGAGCACCTTGCTTACGAAACTGTCGTAGTTGACGTACGCGATGGAGTGAACGTACGCGAGCTCCATCTTGTCCCACGACTTGCCGATGTATCGATTGATGCCGTGCACCTTAATCTCGCCGACCCACCCTTGCTTGTCGCCCAAGGTATCGTGTCGGATGCCATGACCCCTCCTCTCCTTGCCCTTCCCCTCCTCCTCCTCCTCCTCCTCCTCCTCCTCCTCCTCCTCCTCCTCCTCCTCCTCCTCCTCCTCCTCTTCTTCCTCCTGCTCGACCTCCTCCACCTCCTCGACATCCTCCTCCTCCTCCTCCGCCTTCCTCTTTCCCTTTCTCCCCTTCGAGGAACCCTCGCCGACCGCCTTCTCCTTCCCCTTTCTCCCGGTCAACCCACCTTCTCCGACCGACTTGTCCTTCCCCTTCCTCCCCGTCGACGTACCCTCGCCGGGCGACTTCTCCTGATTCTCCCCTTTCCCTTCAACCTCCGCAATGCTGCCTCCATCTTTGTCCGCCGCCATCCCCTTCTGTTTATCCGCCGCCTTCACCTCCGACTTCTCCCGCGTCTTCCTCTGTGAGCCCGCCTTCCCCTTCCGTTTCGACTTTCCTTCACCGACCGCATCACCGGTCGCACTAGGCTCTGCCGCGATGCCGACGAGTCCTGCCGAAGGCTCCACATGTGCCGTGTCGGAGATGGCCAGGGTTCGGGGATTGGCTACATCCAGATGGGCCTGTATGGCTGCATCCAGATGGTGCGACATTCGCCGACGACGGCTTAGCGCCAGAGCCAGAAGCCTGCTGAGTCCTCGCAGTCGACGCTAGTGCGCCCAGCTGGGCGCGCAGCAACTTGGACTTTGGGTCTGCAGGAGTACGGGCGGCGACGACCGGCACTACACGTGGCACACTGGCCGATGGGACGTCGACAGCAGGGGGGGGCTGTTGAACAGCCCTGTGGCCGGCTAGGAGCCTAAGCTGCTCCTTGAGCGCGTCCGCAACTGCCGCCCCTTTTCCCGCGCGGCCAACCTTGTCGGCAGACAGTACGTCGGCATGGCGCGGGACGTCGGCAGGTCGCCCCGCAGACGGTCCGGTCGGATGGCGTGCACCCGCGGGAGACTGGTGAGGAACCGCTGACGCCTCCGCAACCCCTGTCTTCGGGCCCTGGCCAGCTTTCCCGTACCCGCCTGGGGCCGTTTTGGCGGCGGCCTTCTCCTTGTCGCGCAACCCTTTCTCACCGCTACCCTGTCGTGGTGGCTTAACGCCGACCGAAGGCGGAGCCATTGGCAGTGCGTCATCAGTGGCATGCTCGTCGGCGGGACCCCCACCACCATGGCCCGTGCTGGCCGCTCCAACCTGAGCCCAGTGCTTCCTGAGGATGTCGACCACGCTCTTCCCCGTCTGCTTCCCCGAACTGCCGTCGCCGGCTCCCATGCTCCCATCGCCGGCGACGCGAGAACCAACCGCTCCCTTGGTCCGCCTCGCGCCCGCCGAATCGTCTCCGTCCCCCCCCCCCCGCCGCCTCCTTCTCCGCCCCCCTTGCTCCCGTCGCCGGCGACGCGAGACCCCCCGCCTCCCTTGCTCCGCTTCCTGTTCGCCGAATTGTCCCCGTCGCCCCCCCCCGCCGCCTCCCCCCCTCTTATGACCCAGCTTCAAGCCCTCCGTAGGTTGCGCTTGGCCGGCGTCGTTTGCCGACGGCGACGACCCACGCCGAGCAGTCGCCACCGTGCCGACGACCTTGGTCATTATCTTCAGTCCGGAGGCGAGAAAGGACTGTTGCGTGGTCTCCGTCACCGCCTTCAGCACGTCCTCCTTGAAAGACTTCAGGAAATCTTCCGGCAAGGCCTGCGCTGGGGCGGTCGGCGGCGGCGGCTGGACTAGGCGGGGCGAGACGGCGGCGGCAATGTTGGTCTGCGCGGCGCCGATGTATTTTATGAACGACTCCTCCAACCCCTTCCTCGCCTCGCCCACCTCAGCCGAAACGTGCTCGGTCAATGTCTTCACCGCGGGCGCGCGTGCGACCGCCGCTCGTCCCTTGGGGTCGTCAAGATCCAGCAGCATCTGCCTCGCTAGCTCGGCGAAGGACTTGTCCGATTGAATTGCGCTGTCCATGTTGTCGGTCAGGCCCTCGGTGATTGTGGTCGCCATGGTCGTCGTGGCCTCTTTGAGGCGCTCCTCCGATTTCCGGTCGGTGTCGGCGACCTGGGCGGTCAAACCCTTCACCTTCTCGAGGAGCCCAGCTAAAGCCGCCGCCAAGCTGTTGACACGCCCCGTCTGCTCACCGAGCCGCCGTTCAAGGCGTGCATTGTCCGCACGCAATCGCTTGTTCTCCGCTCTCAGCTGATCGACGACGTCCAGCCGCGCCTGCCGCCCAGCCGCGGTGGAACCGGGATGACCGCTCGCCGCCTTCTTCCTCCTAGACCGCTCCCCCCCGGCCTTCTCCGCGGTGGCATCGGTATGCACATCCACGTCCCTCTGCTTCGGGACCGCGGCGTTATCCCCTTCACCGACCTCGACCATGCCACCATCTCTGTGAGCCGCCTCCACGCCGACCTCGCCGAGATCCGCTGTCGCACCCTTCCCCTCCCCTTCGTCGTTCTCGACATCCGCCGATCTCCCACCCGTTTCCTACGCTCCTCCAACAACGTACCCCTCCGCCATTTCCACGTCCTCCACCTCTACCAGCTGCTCCTCCTGGTGCTGCCTCTCGTGCTCCTGCGTCTCCTGCTCCTGCTCTTGCTCCTCCTCCGACTCCGACTCCGACCCCAACCCCGACCCCGACCTCGACCCCGACGACTCCTCAGAGCCCCCCTCACCCTCACGTTCCTCCTCGCGATCCTGGACCCCATCATCATCCCCGTGAACAACCTCAGTCCTGGTCACCCCCTTTCCTGCGGCCGCATCGCCCTCGTCGACGCCGACTCCCGACTTGCCACGCTCATCAACGACGTTCGGGGCGACCCCTACTGCTACGGATGCAGAATGGAATTCCTCGCCATCGTCGTCATAGGCGTCGGTAGCAACAACGATTTTCCCCGACCGTATGAGCGGGACTTGCTTGTTGATGAGGGCTACCATCTCGTTCCGCAGCGCCTTCAACACCGAGACGGTGGGCTTGTCCATGCTGGTGGCAATGCGACGGAGGTCGCCGGTCAGGAAATGGAACCGCCTCACAACCCAGATCAACGCGCTCATTGCTAGCAGGCCGGAGCCCGCGTCCGAGTCCCGGACGGTATCGGGAACTTTCTGCATACAACAGTGCAGAGCGCAAGGATTAGGGCGGCGTAGATGTGACACCATATGACGGCGAATCGTCCGGAACTCACATCTCGAAGGGGTTCGTCGCAGTCGACGAGCCTCGCTTGCACCTCGTCTTCGGACGGCTTCGCCCACTCCCATTTCCTACCCTCGCGCCGCAGCTCGGCCAGAACAGCGGTCCGGAAAAACCTGCAAAAGCACGGCAAGGATGGTCGGTTAGCACGGTGCACGCTCCGTGTCGACAATGTATGCGATGTCGACTAAACTATCGAGCTCACTTCAGCACGCGGATCGCCTCGTCGCGGTGCCACTCCTTCACTGTCTGCGGGTCGGCGTGCCGGATCGAGGTCCTGACCTCCTGCCCCGAGGCATTGAACAAATCGCCGGGGCACAGGATGAGAACGACGCTGCAATGTGCTCCCGGAAGCGGTGCGATGCTGCACAGACAAGGCACGTCGATGGCGCTCAGAACAAATCACCGACACAGGTTGCAGCACACAACAGGACCTGGAACCTGCTCACCTTGATATCAGCGGGATAACCGCCACGTCGGCTTCGAAAACCGTCGCAAAGCATGTGTGGTCGTCCTGACCCATCGCCGCCCGAAGCCGGCCGACTCCTATCGACCACAATCGCTCGCCTGCATCCGTTGAGCGGATCCATGCGTGCCTGCACGCATGCATGGTTACAACAAGTTAGAGAGGTATAAGTGCGCGGCACGACGGTGGAATGACGGGAGCCGAAAGATTTCGGCACAACTCAGCGTCGACGACGACCTAACGCATTACGTCGGCGTCACCGATGTGATCTACCTGAACTCTAAGCCCGTCGACATAAACTACTGGACGAATTGAAACCCCGCTAGGGCCGACCAGCATGGAATAGGCCCGTCGACGACGACATCTCCATAAGACACTCACTTGAGACTGAGACCCAAGCAACGGGCGTTAAACTCTAGCATAGGGTTTGTCAGAACGGCGTAGTCGTGCTCTTCGAACTTGGCCGTGTGTCCTCTACCGATGTCTAGATGCAGGGGGAAATCTAGCGAGGTCGGCGCCGCTTCGGCGGCTTTCTGGCTGGCCGCCATGGCGGGAGAGCGAGGGTGCTATGCTACAGGCTAAGGGAAGAAATGGTGGGAGTATGGAAGGCGCCGAGCTGGGTGGAAAAATGAAAGAGAAACGAGAACGCGAAAATGAGGGGCCAGTCCACCTCCAACGAAGAAAAGCCAGGCGGAGCCACGCAGGCCCGGTTGAGCGTCGCCCAGGGGGCCGTGATGCCTGGCTCGGCAGGGCTCATGCACAAGTGGCGTGGCACAAGTCACCCTCGCCGCCGAGCCAACAGGTCGACGTCACGTCCCCTGGCCTCGGTCGGCCAGGGGACGCAACTTCGCATGCGCGCGGTGCGACGTTTCGGCACCACGTGTCGATTTCGCAGCGGGTCGCGAAAACCGTGCGCCCCGGGGCGAACGATCCAGTTTTCGCTCGAATTTCGGCTGGTACGAAATGTCGCATGCATGCGATGCGAAATGACGGGCGACCACGTGGCGTCACCGCAACGGGTCGCGAAATAGTCGAGCGACTCGAGGGGAGCCCCTGATTTTCGCGTGGACCTCGCCTGCCCGTACGGGCAGGCCGCGATGGGTTACTAGGACCTCGCGGGCACGAGGGAGGGGTGGGCTGCCTTAGCGGCAGGGTTACTTTCCCTCGCCCGAGGTCTCGCCAGCTCGCCGCCCCCACCCGGTAACGTGGGTCGCTGTTCACTCTCGGGGGGGGGGGGGGGGGGGGGGGTTGCGGGGCGGCGGTCGTGCGCCCGGCCCAGCTCTGGGCCAGGCTGGCGGGCCCGCACGCGCGTCACTTGCCCGCCTCGTCAGACCCCTGTCCATCGACCCCCCTCGTCGACCCTGGCAATTCGGGTCCGTCGACCGAATTCCGCTGGGATCTTCAGCTTTGTAAGTTACATTTCTCAGTTGCAATGCAAACCCCTTCCCCCTGCCGCTGCCTGCCGTACTTGTGACGTGGCGTCTGAATGGCTACCGACGACGGGAATGCCACCCACAAACGAACAAGCCAACATAGGGTTTCCACGTCAGCTTGCTGTAATTTTGCTTCACACAAGCCCAGCTGACGTGTCATTGGATTAAACGGTTTGGCAAAATTACAGCAAGCTGACGTGTCATTGGATTAAACGGTTTGGCAACTAGTGCGACATAGGGTATCTCCAAAGAGGTCGCCTATGGTCATCTGTTGCAAATGTTTATTTATCTGACATATCAACGACCGAAGCCAGGAACATCCAAAACATGTCCCCGCAGCCTTGCAAAGTAATCTCCACACGGCCGATCACAAGCGTGCACCACCACCACCACTTGTCTCCCTGCCACGCAGAGGCAGACTGAGCTCTTCCCCTGGGGGCAACGGTGCAAAGAGGTCGGAGACGGTGCGCGCCGATACCTGGGAGAGCTGAGCCGGATTCCACTGCACAGTGACACAACTCACCACAGATGTCAGAAAGGATACGACAAAAGTTCTGCCACCACTCACACCTCCCAACAAAGCCCAAACATCCCCGTCCAACTGTCCTCTTTCCATGGCACTTTAACAGCAACGTCTGAAGACTGGATTTTGGATTATGAGCATCACAACACTTACACAGCACATGCCTAACACCCTCATCAGCATCCCTTGCACCCTCATCAACATCCCTCCCCCTCCTACAATTTCCTCCCCCACCCACATTGCCTCTATCTTACCGTGGGCTTCCATCCCTCTCTACCAGAACTGCCCACAACAATACCAACAACTGACCCCCAACTCCAACCACGCAAAGGCACGTCATGCCAAACCTCACCCTCTCCTCATCCGCCTCCCTCTCGTTCCCATCTTTCCCCTCCCTCTTCCTCTCCCTCTTCACTTCATGCCATACCTCACCTTGGGATTGCCATCCTTTTACACCAACACAGCCTGCACTCCCTCTGTCTCCCTCCTAAGAAATCCATTCTTACAGCCTCGTTATACTCCCCTACTTTCCTCCCTCCACCTACATTTCTCTCACCCACCCACCTTAACTCAGTCTCACCTTGGGATTGCCATCCTTATCCACCAGCACAACCTGCACTACCACATAAAAATCCCCCGTCACTGCCTCGTTGCACTCCCCTACTCTCCTCTCCCCTTTCCACCATGCCCCATTCTCACCTTGGGATTGCCATCTTTATCCACCAGCACGGCCCGCACGCCCTCATAGAAATCCCCCGCCACCGCCTCGTTACAAGCGCGCACGCTTAGCCGATACTCCTTCTGCAGGCCCTGTGCCCGACTCCCATCCCCTAAGTTCCTAAGCATGCCCACTGACCCACTGACAACCAGACTCCAGCCACGACCAAACCCCTAACCCCATCAAACTCACACCCCGAACCCCCCCCCACCAGATTCAGTTCCCTCTCCATTCCACTCCACTCTCCCTCTCCCGCTTCCTGGTCTTATCTTGTGTCCCCTGCAGGCTCACCTTGGGATTGCCGTCCTTATCCACCAGCACAGCCCGCACGCCCTCATAGAAATCCCCTGTCACCGCCTCGTTACAAGCGCGCACGCTCAGCCGATACTCCTTCTGCAGGCACTGCACCAGACTCTCCATTCTGCCGTCCCTCACGCTCCTAAAAGAAACTTTTAGCGCCGTCGGCGACATTTTTGCGAGCAGCGCGTGGGTCTCCTTCGCCCACACCGCATCGTCAGCACTCCACCCCGGGTGCGTCGCTGACGTGGCAGACGCGTGATTCAAAAGAGCGGTGAAAACTCCCTCCACTGTTCTTTTACTAAAACAGGCGTCGATCACAGCAGCCCTCGCTATAATCCCCCCTTTAGTGGGAAGCACACGTTCGGCATGCTCCTGGATTGCCAGATGGATCGCTTCGGGATCTCCCGTGCCTAGGCACCCGAGCCTGTTCTCGAGGCTCGGCAGCCGGTCCGAAGGTACAAAGTGGGTGGCTAGGCCCAAAGCAAGCATGTCAGGTGCGGGCACCCGGGCTCCCGTTAGGGCTAAGTACTCGCCTGCGAGGGATGGGGGAAGTATTGAACGGGAGGAAGGGGAAGGGAGTGAGAAACAAGGGAGATGGGTTGTACGCAGTTCAGGGTGTTGTTGGTACGGATACTGGATAGTGTTGCAGCGACTTGTGAATTCAGAAGTTTCTAAGGTGTAGACGACACCCATTCGTAGTGAAAGCACAGCTAGCTAAGCTGCAGTGAGAAGCAGTCTGGGTTTCCTGGAGCCAGCCCAAGAGGTTAGGGGGAGGTATGATGGGGAGGAGGCCACTCACCCATGTGGCCGGGGAGGCGCGAGAGGAAGGAGGAGGCACCGACGTCAGGATGCAGGCCAATGGCCGTTTCAGGCATGGCGAAGAGCTGATGGGGGAAGGGGAGAGGCGCGGTGAGGTGAGGTGAGGTGAGGGGAGGGGAGGTGAGGTGAGGAGAGGGTGAGGTGAGGAGAGGTGAGGAGAGGGTGAGGTGAGGTGAGGTGAGGTGAGGAGAGGAGAGGTGAGGTGAGGTGAGGTGGAATGAGAGGAAAGAATGAGGCACCTACATCAAGATTCAGGGCAATGGCAGTTCAGGCACGACAAAGAGCTGATGGGGGATGGAGTTGAAGCAATTACGAGACATCTAAGATTCTAATTAGGAAGGGGTATGGCAAGGGTGCGGCAAAGGTGGGAGAGGGTGGGAGAGAGTGAAAGTAATGTGCAGCTTGGTTTGACACTCACACTCACATGCACACAGTTACACGAGTACAAGTCTCACTCACTCACAGTGTTCTCAGTGACCACTCGAAACGCCCCATGCATAGAGATGCCTTAATTACCGCCAAACACCACCCCGTTGAGCAGAGCGCCGATTGGTTTGACATTCACGTCCGCCTTCACACTTACTCACTCACTCACTCACTCACTCACACTCTCCCTCACATACACACACAGACGCAGACACTCACAGCGTTCTCAGTGACGACACGGAATGCCCCATGCACGGAGATGCCGTTACCACCGCCAAACACCACCCCGTTGATCAGAGCCACGTGCGGCTTGGTGAGCGTTGCGATGAGGTGGTTTAGCTGATACTCTGTTCGGAAGAACTCACAGCACTCTGCGGCCTGTGGTGGGAGGGAACGAGGAGGGTACTGAGTTGTTGCATAGCTTGGTGAGTGTGGCGATTAGATGGTTCAGCTGGTACTCTGTTCGGAAAAACTCACAGCACTCGTCAACCTGTGTACAGAGGAGAAGGGAGGGAATCAGGGAAGGGCATAACAAGGGGCAAACGGAGCATGTTATTTGCAGCTTGGTGAGTGTGGCGATGAGGTGGTTCAGCTGGTACTCTGTTTGGAAGAACTCACAGCACTCGTCGACCTGAGGTATGTAGGGGGGAGGGGTGGTGAGCGGAGGGCAGGGACGGCCATATGACGGGGCAAAGAGAAGCATGTTATGTGGGACACCATAAGCGTGGTGCGATGAGGCTGTACAGCTGGTATTTTTTTTGGAAAAGCTCACAATACTCATCGATCTGTGGGAGATGAAGGGAGGAGAGGAGGGAAGCGGAAGAGCCGGAAAAGGGGAAACAGATGCATATAATGTGCACCTTGGCGCGAGAGGCAACGAGGTGGTTCAGCTGATACTCTGTTCGGAAGAACTCACAGCACTCGTTGACCTGTGGTGGAAGGGAAGGAGGAGGGTACTGCGTTGTTGCATAGCGTGGCATGAGAGGCAACGAGGTGGTTCAGCTGATACTCTATTCGGAAGAACTCACAGCACTCGTAAACCTGTGTGGGGACTCGGGAGGAGGGGAGGAGACGGACGCATTTGTGCACCTTGGTGGTTCAGCTGATACTCTGTGCAAAAGTAACTCCAGCATGCCTGCACGACTCACCTTGCCCTACTGTCTCACGTTGCCCTGCTGACTCGCCTTGCCCTGCTGACTCACCTTGCCCTGCTGACTCACCTTGCCCTGCTTCCCCTGCTGGTACACAGTCCGCACATCGCCGCCTGCGCAGAAGGCGCGCCCGTTGGCCTTGAGAAGGATCATCTTGACCGTTGGATCTTTTTCCCACTGGCTGTACAGCTGCTTCATACGCCTCACCTGGGGGTGCGAGGATTGGGGGGGGGGGGAGAGAGTTAAAGTGGAGAGGGGGTTGGGTGGTGATTAATTATGTTCTTTTATCTATGCCTCTCTCGTCCTTTCTCGTCACGTCAATCCATCTAACCTCATCTCATGTCCTCATGTTGAATCCATCCTCCCATTCCATTGCTCCACCTCAGCTCTCATCTCCTCTCAGTTCAACTCAACTCAATTCAACATCTTATCTCCTCACATCTCAGACGTCTTGCTTCGTCGTCACCTCTATCTCATACAATCTCATGTCATGTCATCACACATCACCTTATCAAGATTACACCATTCCATCATCACCATCACTTCATCATCAATACATCATCATCATCATCATCATCATCATCATCATCATCATCATCATCATCATCATCATCATCATCATCATCATCATCATCATCATCATCATCATCATCATCATCATCATCATCATCATCATCATCATCATCATCATCATCATCATCAGCATCAGCATCAGCATCATCATCAGCATCATCATCCTCATCGTCGTCGTCGTCGTCGTCGTCGTCGTCGTCGTCGTCGTCGTCGTCGTCGTCGTCGTCGTCGTCGTCGTCGTCATCATCATCATCATCATCATCAGCATCAACATCAGCATCACACCATCACCATCACCATCACCATCACCATCACCCCATCATCAACTTAAACCACGGCGTGTTACCATGTGGTGTTATCAAGTGGTGTTACCACGTGGTGTTACACACCATGTACGTGTCTAGAGAGTTGAGAGCCTTGGGCCGATTCAGTACCACCGTCGCTGCTGATGTGTCCTTCTCCACTACAATGGTCTCCTCAGATGACGCCATCGCTGACGTGGATTGCGTCTGCTGTGACGCGGCTTGACCGTGGGGTAACAAGGAGGAATGAATCAAGCGCCGTCGAATTGAATCTCCCACTCGGAGGGAGGGACCGATGGGAACAGATCCGCCAATTAAAGAACCTTGCCGAAGTATTGAAGGATCAGAATATGAAGAAAGCTTCCTACATCCAATCCCCGTTACGGGAACTTCCGCTAACGGATTGCTGGTTCCGATACAAGCAGAACCGATACAGGCGACCGGCTCAACGGATATCGGCGAAACCCCCAGCGCCTGCAGGAACGGTCGGCTGGTGCGAGAAGCGCGGAGGATAGCCGTGCCGCGCCGCATGAAGCGCCTAAGGATGATTTGCTGAGAATCTGAAGCAATGTGACACAAGGCGGCTGCGCGGTGCGATGTCTGTCGGCCGGGGAGATTCTGCGGCTACCGAGCAAGGGAGAGATCGGCTGCGATAGGAGCAAATCACGGCGAAAGTTCCGGAACCGATCCGCGTGTCTGAGGTGGGATTGCGAGGAATGAATAAACTGGCTGGAAGGGCGAGTGTGGGGGTGCTGATACGGATGGGGCAGGATCTGGCGTGGCCTTGACGCAGCAGGACTCATGTGGTCCCAACGAGCAGGGCTAGCTACCGTATTGAGGTGGTCTGTTATGGAGTGAGAATCGTTTCTGTACTCCGCAAGTCATGTTGAAGAAAATTGAGATAAGGACAAAAGAGTATGATTGCACACTAGAATAAGACAAGGGTGAACAGTGGAACTGTAGCATGTGAAGATGAGCTTGATGGAAGAGAAGATGATGCTTAGAACTCGTGACTATAAAGAGAAACTTGTGCAAGATGAAATGCTTGATGAGATAAGAACTTAGAAGAGAAGAGGAGTGTGAGCTCGTTGAGAGAATAAGAGAGGTGATGAAACACTTACTTGAGTGAATCTTACAAGGGATAGTTGTAGAGGTGACTTGGATGACTTGGTCTCGGGAGCTTTACTTGAAAAAAGAACATCAAGCTTGGTGTTGGGTGATGAGCCTTCCTCAAGCTTGTAGGTAGTAATGAACCTTATACTCAAGTAGAGTATGAGGTGACTACTCTTCACTTGATAACTACTTTGTAGGCTAGGTAGAGATGAACTTCTTGAGCATAAACTTATATTGAAAGAGGTATAGTACAAGCCTTATAGATCCATGAGGGATACATAGACATGCATAGAAGAGTAACCATCAATGGTAACCTTGGAAGAGAGTAGCATGAGAATATCAACTTTGGAGACATAGAACTTGGTTGCTAGGAGGAGCCTTTGTAGTCGAAGAGGAGCTTGAAGGAGAAGCTTGGAAAGGAGCTTGAAGAGGAAGCTTGAGAAGCATTGTTGTCAGTGAAGAACTTTCTTGAGAAATTGTAGAGATGCTTGTTGGAGTTGAATAGTAGTAGAGCATGTGGTGGTGGTTGAGCATTTGGTGAGTTGGAATTGTAGGCCTTGTAGTGTTGGAAAAGAACTTGGGTGAGTTGGATAAGAATGAGTGGAGGAGATGATGAGCTTTGTTGCCTTGGACTAGGAGGTGATGGGATAATCATAAAGTCCTTGAGGGATGTGTTGGCAACTTTGATGACTTGGGAAAGGAAGGAAGGAAGGAATAAATAAGAGGCATGCGGAGGTTGATGACTAGGAGGTGGAAGCATGTGCTTGAAGGCACATGGGAGGAGGATAATTGGAGGAGGTAAATGACTTGGGTAAACTTTGATGAGTAGGAAAAGAAAGCACATGGAAAATCATGAGGAGTCATGTGCCTTATGGTGGGACTTGAGGATGAGTATGGGAAGTTGGTTTGAATATTGGTTGAGTTGGACTAGGAAAGGCTATGGTGATTGGGAGTAGTTAAAGAGGTGGTTGATAGGCTTGCGTTGGAGAGGATGAGTTGGAAAAAGAAGTTTGTAACTTGAGTGGTTGGAATAGGCTTTGGAGGAGTTGAGTGGTTTGGATGGGTTCTTGGGAAAATGCGTCGAGGGTGTTTTGAGGGGAGGGGGTTGGAGTGGCACAGTAGCGTGGCACGTGAAGCGCGTGCCATTTACAACACTCCCCCTCACTGCAAGCCCGTACCCTCAAATCCAGCCGCTGGGACTAACCCGACTTGAACTCGGTTGTTGATGAAGATGTCGCGTGCAACGACCTTGGTGAGGAAATCCGCCGCTTGCTCACTCGTGCGGCAAAACAGGGGCTCAACGGTTTTCTGCTCCACAAGCTCTCGAACGTAGTGATACTGCGTCGCGATGTGCTTCGTCCTCCCATGGAAGACGGGGTTCTTGGAGAGAGCGATCGTCGACGTGTTGTCGATGAAGATGGGAGTGGGGCTCTCTTGTGGGAGGTCAAGCTCCTTCAAAAGACCTCTTGTCCACACTGCTTCTCGGACTCCTTGGGTCGCAGCCATGTACTCTGCCTCCGTGGATGATAAAGCCACGCAACTCTGCTTCTTTGACTGCCAAGAGATGGCTGCCCCTCCAAGCATGAAGATGTATCCGCCAGTGGACCTGCGGGTGGTGATATCCCCAGCCCAATTTGCATCCGTGAAACCATACAGCATGCTTGCACCCTCAAACCCTTGAAAGAGGAGACCAAAGGAAGAGGTTGATTTGAGATAGCGCAGAGCACGATGTGCTCCACGCTGATGCATGCGAGTGGGTGATGTCATGCATTGAGAGAGCATGGCAACGGTATGGGCGAGATCGGGACGGGTGCAAATAGAGGCGTACATAAGGCTGCCCACTTGGCTCTGGTAGAGTGAGAGCTCAAGAGGTGTGATATGGGATGTGGAGTGTGGTGCGTAGGTGTCGTGATCAATGTCCTCAGGGGGCTCAAGGGTCTCGACCTCACCCTCAAGCTCTGTGACCTCTGACTCAACGGTGGAAGGGTCAATGCTTTGCTCGTGCGAGCTCAGCGTGAAGTCTGAGGGGAGTGGGGTCTCGACTGGGTTGCAGTCAAGGAGACCAAACCTTGAAAGGACCTTCTCAGTGTACCTCTGCTGTGAGATGAAAAGTGACTTGGTGGTGCGGTCCCTCACAATGTTCATACCAAGGTAGTGTGAGGGCTCACCCATGTCTGTCATGATGAAGTCTTGGGTGAGCATACCTTTGATGCGTGTGAGGAGACTCAAGGATGCTGACACGAGGAGGATGTCGTCCACATAGACTAGGAGCCACAAGGACTCCCCCTCACTCGTGCGTAGGGTGTACAGTGCGGCATCGAACTGTGACTTGGTGAAACCTTGGGTGAGGAGTGATACCTCAAGGGTGTGGAACCAGACTCGTGGTGCTTGCTTTAGTCCATAGAGGGACTTCAGCAGCTTGCAGACCTTGGTGGTACCATCAGAGTAACCCTCGGGCTGTACCATGTAGATCTCTTCGTCGAGCTTACCATAGAGAAAGGCGTTCTTCACATCCATTTGGTGGATGTGGAGATCCTTCACTGTGGCCATTACCAGGAGGCACCTGACAGTGGTGTATTTGGCTACAGCAGAGAAGGTCTCTGTGTAGTCCGTGCCTGGCATCTGTGAGAAACCTTTGGCTACGAGGCGTGCCTTGAATCGGTCAAGCGTACCATCTCCCTTTACTTTCACTCGGTATGTCCACTTAACCTTCAGTGCTCTCTTACCGGGAGGGAGTGGTGCAAGGACCCATGTACCTTGTGCAAGGAGGCTGTTAATCTCTTCTTTCTCTGCCTTTACCCACTCTGCCCTTTCAGCGCTTGCCAGTGCTTGCTTGCGAGTGGATGGCTCAGGTGGGAGGCAACTGATGGCGTGACACATGGCGACTACCTTGCAGTCCATGCAGTGAGGGTTGGTGCACTTGGCTGTGACTGGAAAGCTTGCACCGACTGCGAGGTTCAGGCGCTGCACTGGCTTGCGTGCTCGCTTGGGACGCTGTGAATGCTCTGTGATACCTTCATGACTCGTGTTACCATCAGGGATGGGTGGAGGTGCTGAAGGCGTGGTTGTCTCAGGAACATCATTTGGTGGTTGAACGGGTTGAAGCGGCTCGTCTGCTGCGTCAGGGATGACGGTTGAAGTGTTGACTGGAGGTGAAGAGGTAGATGGTACGGTTGAAGACAGCTTCTCTGCGGCTGGCTGCTGCTCAGGTGTTGACTCTCGCGTTAGGGGCTGCTCCATCGAGAGTTGGAGTGAAGACGGCTCGTCGGTGAAGAGTGGTGGTGATGTGTGGTTTGGCTCAGGTTGACTCTGCTGCTGCTCATGAAGAGGTGTGTTGTTCTCAGGTACAGGTGGAGATGCTGTGGTATCTCCAGCAGGTGCACTTGGAGAGGGCTCCACTTCGGGTGTGGTGGTGAGTCCTGTTGGAGTGGGGAGAGAGTCTTCGAGAGAGGGAGAAGGAGGTAGATAGTTTAACTTCCATCGAGCGAGGGACATGTCTTCATGGAAGATCACGTCCCTGCTCACAATTTCCTTGGTAAGGAGAGGGTCCCAAAGAATCCAGCCCTTGCTCTCCTTACTCACCCCAATGTGCATGCCCCAGCGTGTCTTGCTCTCAAACTTTCCTCTCTTCTCATCGGGAATGCGATATTGTGCCATGCACCCAAACACGCGCAACATGGAAACATCGGGCTTCTTCCCATGCCATGCTTCAAATGGGGTGATACCTGAGGGAAGAGCGGTGGTTGGGCGACGGTTCTTGAGGTGGACGGCGTGGTTCACTGCTTCTCCCCACCATGCATCGTCTAGCTTCATGTGCAAGAGAAGAGATCTTGCAATTTCCTGCAAGGTGCGGTTGAACCTTTCGGCGATGCCGTTCTGCTGAGGGGTGTAGGGGCATGAAAACTCTTGTGCAATGCCGATGGATGAGAGGTGATTGCGAAATGACTTACTCATGTATTCTCCCCCTCTGTCCGAGTGCAGAGTCTTGACTTGAAGGCCGGTTGTGTTCTTGATGTGTTCATGCCACACTTTGAATGCTTCGGGAACAAGGTCTTTGGACCCGAGAAGGAAGACCC